AAAAGCACAATAAAACTGTCAGGAGCACCAGCTGCTTACTTCGGCATGCATGACTAGTGCATTTCCCCCCCTTGCAGGCAGATTTCTGTGAGAAAGCAAGTTATTATCAACAGGTTGCCTAGTAATCCTGGCATTGGAGTAGGGGAATTAAGTATAATAACGTTATTGTTGAATGACCTCAGATTATTAAAGGGCATTTCAATTTAATCCTTTGCTTAAGGCATTGAGTTACCTGGGTGTCCCCATTGTAACTATAAATAGGGACCTCCTTGAGGAATCATAATATGGACAGGATGCTCTCTTCTCTGCTGCTTCAGCTTACATGTCATGGTATCACCCTCAATCTCAAGGTGTTTGAAACCAACTTCTTATTTTCCCTGAACAAACTGGAGCCATTTTTTTTTTAATTAGGAGAATTATTTTCTGGGCCAAGAGTCAAAAACCTGAACGTGAAATGTAAAAAAAAAAATAATTTTTTTTTTCATGCAAGTATAACTTTCAATCTTTTTTTTTTTTTTTTTTAAAGAAGTTGTTGCATTTTTAAATGAATTAATGGACATAAAATAGTTATTATTTCTTAGCTGCTTCTTTCTCTTCTTACTTTTCCCATTCCTTTATTTCTTATGAAACACCCCCAGGGCTTTCACACAAAGTGTAAAACCACCATTTTAATCCCTTGGGTAATATGAAGTCAAGGGTAGGATAAGACCTTCAGGCAGCTCTCCATTTTCATTTCCTCTGCTTTGGAGTTATTTAAAAAAGAAAGAAAGAAAGAAAGAATGCATTCATGTAAATATTGTTTGCTTCAACGCTTGTAAATGGTTGGATTTCAAAATCCAAAAATTCTTATTTCTAGAGCTAGCTTTCACTTTAGCAAGCCCTTTTTCTCACCTGATTTTGTTTACTCTGATTTCCTTAGACCTTCACTGACCCAAAGGTTCAAGAAAAGATGACTTTGTGTTTACTCCAGCATCCTTTAGAGGTGAAGCCAGAGTCAGCTGGAGGATTTTGGTGAGTTGATGAATATGAAGGAGTGAAACAACCGAATTTTACTTTCTCTAAGTGAAACTAGAATCTGTTACCTTAGACTCCTCCCTGAAATGCCTGGATTTCACTGTTAGAAGGAAAAGATTGGACTGAAGGAAGCATAGACCTGAAGGTCAATTATTAATTTTTGTTGTAACTTTATATCTTAGAGAATAAAAACAGTTGACTAAGATCATTAATAAGAAATAACTTTCACAAATCTTTTAGAAATATTGTTTAATGCATACAACAGTGATTACAGTATCATTCTAGATTAATTACGAAGTAGAGAATATTTTGTATAAAAACAAAATGGATTTAAAATAAAAGGTTTTAAAGATACTTTGAAACAAAAATGAATTTAAAATGAAAGGTTTTAAAGGTACTTTGAAAATGGTATTAGATCTATCACTCTCCCAATTTTTTTTTTTTTTTTTTTTGAGACAAGCAAAATTTTTGGTGGCCTTAAAAAAAAGAAAAAAAAAAAGAAAAAAAAAAAGAAAAAAAAAAAAGAAAAGAAAAGAAAATGGTATTAAAGAAAGTAAAAGCAATGAAATAGCTGTATGACTTAAAGGTAATTTTAGAAAAAAATATGATATGGCTTTATGCTTTATTATCTAGGAGCTTTTATAATTAGACATTCTTATATTATAGGAGGATCTAAAATAAGAGAGACAAAGTGCTACATGGATAGTTTCTCTTTAGTTACCTTTATGTTGCACAAATGTACTTAGGCTCATCTTTTGTACTGGTTATCTGTTAGTAGTAATCCCTCAAGGCAATCTAGCAAACCAATAAGGAGAAAAAAAGAATAAGTTGGCCATCGGCCAGTGCTTTTATTACCTTCCCGAGAGACTGAATTTGCGCCTGCATTTTCATTGCCACCTGTCAGGGCGGAGTCCCTCTTGCCACCTTGCTTAAAGAATCACTCTTCCTTTCACCTGCTCCAGGGATTCTGGGCCGTGAAAACAGAGCATGCTCACTTAGTCCCCAGAGAGAGTTTTCAAGCCCTAACAAGTTGGATTAGAACTTGCTGATGAGCTGTAACCTTCTGGCCAGATGGGGCCACCCGATCCAGATGTCATTGTTTCAGAATTTACCTACCCCTCTCCCTGTTGCCATTTTTATCTCTTGTTGTGGCCATTTTTTTTTTTTTTTATGGGGGAGGGAAACAGAATAGCCTTTCGTGGACAAAAACCCACTTCTGTCCATTTATTTCTCATAAGAAGTTTTCACCTAAAAAAATCCTTTTTGTGAACCTTTTTAAAATCCTCACTTGAGGATATTATTTTCATTGCTTTTTTAGAGATAATGGAAGGGAGGGAGGAAGAGGAAGAGAGAGAAAGAAACATCAATGTGGGAGAGATGCATTGACTGTTTGCCTCCCACACTTACCACGACTAGGCCAAGGATCAAACTTGCAACCCAGGTATGTGCCCTTGATTGGGAATAGAACCCATGACACTTAGGTCCAAGGCCAGTGCTGCAACCACTGAACCACACCAGCCAGGCTTGTGAATCTTTGTTTATAGCCAGAGTGCCTCCTCTTATTTTCCTCCCTCAAGAGTTGCTTATTTCCTCCTTCTTTCTTGTGCTCTTCAATTTACCTGCAGCACTCCTCCTACTGCTAAACAAATATTGCTTGCCCTTTGAGATTCTTTCTAGGCTGGGTATGGGGTGCACAGGAGGGTGGGGACCATCCAGAGGGAGGGAGCAGCCAAGAAAGCCACTATGACCTCTAGTTTGGGAAGATCTAAGGCACTTGGATCTGGGGTATGGGGAGGAATAGCTGCTAAAAGGGAAGTGCACTTTAGCATTGGAAAGCCCTTGTTCCATTCCTCTTGGAAACTGAGGATATCCATATTTTATTCATTTAGCAAATGTTTATTGAGCTCCATATGCCAGATACTGGAGATACAACTGTGGACTAGACAGATGAGGTCTCTGACCTGCTGGAGTCTTGGACTATTGGGGAAACAGCCAACATAACAGGCAAATACGTTCTGGAGTGATAGGGGCTCTGAAATGGGAGGTTCTGGATTCTTGGGGAGCACATTGGGAGGTGCTCCTATTTCTAATTTGGGGGACGAGGAAGGTGTTTTAGAGGAAGTGATGTAGGTGTTGATATTGAAAAGATGAGTAAGAGTTAGTCAGGTGAAAGGGTTAGAGATGGGGTTAGATGGTAACAGGCAGAAGGAAGAGCACATGTGAAGGCCCTTGAACACAGTATAGAGGTGAGAGGGTGCAAGGAGGAATGAGGGCAGTGAGGAGAGTGTTCAGAAATCGGGCTAGAAAGATGAGCAGGCACCAGGTTGCAGAGGGTCTAAAAGATCATTTTAGAATTTGATCCTTTTCCCCCCGTAAGACCAATGGGAGGTGATTAGAGAGTTTTAAGCAGGAAGGTGTGGGGTGACATGATGCCATTTATCTTTTATAAGGATGCCGTTGGCTTCAATGTGGACCCTGGTCTATAGGCACCCAAGGCAGGAGCGTGGAGACCTGTTTGGAGGAATGTAAGGGAAAAGCAATCACTGGTCCTAGAGGCTGGGGTTGAGGGAGCAGTTAGGAGAGGAAGTGGGGATTGTCTTGGGCAGCCTTGGTGGCAGTTGGTAGAAGATGTGGGAGAAGAAACAAGAGTTATATATTTGAGGACCTGTTCCTGTTTCAAGTAGCACCTGGCAGCAGGATCCCCATCTTCTTGCTCAGATTGGTTGTAGTCACTGGTCCCTAGAAAAGCAGTGGGTTCCACCAAGTGCCCTTGGCCCTATCTGTCAGGCATGGCCCAGGGATAGGGAGGAGAGGGGGCTGAGCCCTCAACAGGCTGTTGCTTTTCTTGGAGGTACTGGTTGGGAACTCATGGATTTGGGAGCATGATACAGGGAAATATCGATGGTTTCAGGCTTTTTAGCCTCCGGAAGATTAATAGTGCTGCAGTGGGTGTTGATAAACTCTCTGCTTCCTCTTTTTTTGTGACTACTGAGCCATAAGTCTTGGTCTTCCTCTCTTTTGGTCTCCATATGACTGACCAACTTCTTTGTGTGCTAGTCTGTTTCCTGCATCCTGCCACTCCCCTGCGTCGAGCAGGCAGCAAACAGGCCATTTCCCTTCCTAATGGAGAGAGCTTGTACTCAGTACCCCTGCCTACCTGGCCGTGTGTTTGCTAAGGTGCCTGAGCTCATTTGCATGGTCTACTGGGTTCCCAAAGTTTGAAATTACTTGTTTTCCCCTTTGTTTATTCTAAATCTTTAATAGAGTTTACTATATGAAAGACATTGGACCACATGTAGGGAAAACAATGAAAAATAAGAATGACAATATTCTGGGGTTGTTGTTATTTTTTGTAATTACCTGGAGAAGACTATTCACTTGAGAATAAATTGAGGAAACATTTTGATTGTATTTTGTTCTCTAGAACCTGGCTGATATTTACCTCTCACGTGTAACTCCCACGATTGAGCAGAGGTTCCCAGCTTCGGCTGTGAGAAGGAATCACCATAGCAATAGAATAAAAGGCAGATGCCTTTGCAAATGTCTAATCACTATGCTGCACACCTGAAACTAATGTGATGTTGTGTGTCAGCTGTGATTGGAAAATAAAAAGGCAGAGGCTGGAGCTTCACCCCTGAGATATTTTGATTCATAGGGTTTAGATTATATTAGAAAATTTGGCTCAATTTTAATGCCAAATTGAATAGCACACTTGCGCTTACCTTAAGTTAGTTTGTGTAGCCTTTATAGTATAAATAGTTTTATATGGAATTATTTGTATAGAATTATTTTTTGTATAGAATTATTCTTGTCTAGTTAGATTTGAGCCTGAGACATAGGATCTGTTATTCTTTACTGTGCCAATGGCTTCCAACTCACCTAGAACTGACTAGGAAAAGAGTTAATGGATAGAAATGTATGCTTAAGGAGCACTTTTCTTTTGTAGGCCAACTGTTGAGACCCCGTGAAAAACAATCGGTGCAATAATGTTCTGCAGTAAAAAGAAACCACTTGGTAAGTACTGAGCTCTTCAAACTCTACAAAGCAAATATGATTTTTAAATTAAACTAAAGTTTATTTTGTGGAAGAGTAATTTATATACAAAAACCCCCACAGATCTTAAGTATTCGATTTGATGAATTTTGACAGTTGTGCACATCTGCGTAACTACCACCTGAAAACAAGATACAGAATATCCCAATCACCACAGAACGTTTCCTTACGCTCCCTTTCATTCATTCTCCCTGCACTCCACACAATCATGCCTGATTTCCATTAGTTTTGCCTGTTTTTGAAGTTAACATAAATGAAATAATAAAGCACATAGTCCTGTGTCTTGTTTCTTTTGCTCAGCATAAGGCTTTTGGACACACATCCATATAGTTGACACACATCAACAGTTCGTTCTTCATTTTTTCTTTCAAAGCAGCATTACATGGTATCAATGTACCAATATTTAAAACTAAGATCACACAGTTAGAAATAATTTCTGTTCATTATGGCAGGAAACACATGTTGTTTTCTTGGTTGGGTAATTGGTTTAGCTGAACAGCATGAACAGTATTCCAGTTTCTTTAATATAGCATTCTGGCCAGAGAGCACTAATGTTCTTTTTTGCCTCTTGTTAGTGACAGACATTTATGTATTTTTTTTCAATGAATGTGTATTTAATTAATTACCACTATTTTCTCTATATTTGACCATAGACTTTTTAGAGACAAAAGGCAGGATTAGAGTTGATCTAATGCCCTGTTCCTCCATGTAATAACATTTCTTGACAGGTGATTAACCTATTTAGAGAGGCAATTGTTTCATGGTGAAGTCTATTCCTCTTTTTGGGCACTTATGTATTGCAACATTCAGCCTCATAATGAGCTGAAATCTGTCTCAATGTAGTTGCTACCCAGAGGTTCTTAGTTATACCCTCTGGGGCAAGACTTTCATTATTCCCAATGCAACCTAAGAGTTTAGAGCTATATTGTCATAATTTTTTATTTTTTTCAAATGAAATGATTTATTTATATCAAATCACTGGTATAATCTGGACAGTGTGAACATTAGATTGACCAGCTTTAACAAGGACATGTTTCCAGCAGCTACTGTTGTATGGTTTGCTGTGTGTTGGTGACACAGCTGGGGCTGTGGCTGCTCTGGTGCTGATTTGCAGAGAAAGCTGAGGCCAGCCCCTTCCTCTTGTTCTTGTTACAATGGCCGCACAATTTGAGGGATTATCTTTGTGTCACTATCATTTGCATCATCATGACTGTGCATGATGCAAATCTTTAGGTTATAGCAGTTCCTATAGGTCTGGTATAGTTTTTAAAATAGCCACTCACACACTCAATCATTAAATTGTTTTGAGCTTCTATGGTAGGTGAGGTAGTATCAACCTTTCTTGATTTCAAGTAGTTTTATACGATTCAATATAATACATGTATCCTCACACAGTTACCAAGTTTGCAGTATCAATAAATGCTGGGGTTCTTTCCCTGAATCTAGAAGGGTTCGGGAATCTGGAGAAGGGCTGTGAGTAAATTAATAGAGAGACTAGCCATGAAATATAAATTTGGAAGGTATTTTGGAGAGCCAGAGGAGGCCTAGCTTCGGTAACCAAGTTCTCTGAGTCTCTGGACCCCTAGGCTTTTTATTAACACCAATTGCCTTAAAGCAAAGCAGATATACATAACAAAAGGTAGGGTTTGGTATACAGTAGGCATTATCACCAGGTTGGGGGAACTACCTTCTTCTGTTCAGCTATCTGGCCAGGAGCAGGTAATGACATGTAGGTTTTCAGGTTTGGGAGACACTTTCAGATATTCCAGCAGGTCAATAACATGATTCAGCCCTGCTGAATATACAGTAGAAGCCCATCAACCTTTTGATGAAATTTTTGCATTTTATTATGCCCTGCTGGAATTAGCTTCCTGCAAATAATAACTTGAAAACACTTTACTAAACATTCCTTGCAGTGGTATATTTACCAGAGGAGCACAGACTTCTAATCAGCCTGGTGTTGTCAGAAGAAAAATTATGCAGAAGTGGTAATTTATCTCAGTGAGATATATATATCTGTAGCATTAATTATGGAGTACTCACATTTATACAAAATTTCACAGAATCATGAGGAAGCTTGGACCAGTGATGCTGTATTAGTATATGACAATATACCAAATACTAGAGGCCTGATGCATGAAAATTCATGCAAGAGTAGGCCTTCTTTCTCCTAGTTGCCAGTACCAGCTTCCCTCTGGCTCTTAGGACCCAGTCTTTGCTCTGGCCCTGGCTTCATCCAGAAGGACCTCTGGAATGACATCTGGAAGGATGTCTGGTCTAATTAACATATTATATTACCTTTTTATTATCTATACTAAGAATAAAGGAATATGCAAATTGTCCTGGATGCTGTCACAGTAATAATATCAACCAGCAGGTTGTCTGCTATGACAAGGCCGGCAGGGGTGTTAGTGAAGGACAACCAAACAACTGAATAGCAGGCTGTGTGGGGCAACCAGGCCAGCAGAGGGGACAGTTGGGGTTGACCAGGCAAGCAGTGGAGGCAGTTGGGGATGATCAGGCTAGCGGGAGTGGGGCAGTTAGGGGCAATCACATTGGCAGACAGGGGTGATCATGCTGGCAGGGGGGAGGGGGAAGTTAGGGGTGATCAGGCAGGCAGGCAGGTGAGCAGTTAGGAGCCAGCTGTCCCAGATTGTGAGAGGGATGTCCGACTGCTGGTTTAGGCCTGATCTGGGGAGCCTAAACTGGCAGTCAGACATCCCCCAAGGGGTCCCGGATTAGAGAGGGTACAGGCTGGGCTGAAAGGATTCCCCCACCCTGTGCACAAATTTTGTGCACTGGGCCTCTAGTTATAGATAACAGGCCAGCCACAGTGTTGTGGGAACACATTATTTTCTCCCAGATATGCTTTATTGTTTATTAATTCCACATTTCTAGAAATCTCACATTCTTCAGGATGTAAAAAGTGTCAGCTAGCCGAAGCCGGTTTGGCTCAGTGGTAGAGTGTTGGTCTGCGGACTGAAAGGTCCCAGGTTCGATTCTGGTCAAGGGCATGTACATTGGTTGTGGTTGCGATGGTCGATGTTTCTCTCTCATCGACGTTTCTAGCTCTCTAGCTCTCTCCCTTCCTCTCTGTAAAAAATCAATAAAATATATTAAAATAAGTGTCAGCTAATTGACTTAAATATTTAAAACATTAAGATTATAGTCTATTTTTTGTTTGTTCTTTGTAATCCACCCTTTCTGTGTAGCTTGATGGGAGACCTGAAGACAAATCATTTTAAGACATAAATGTGCTTTTCTAAAGAGCAATCAAAAAAGAGCATTGCTCATGTGTAAAATACCTAATTCAGATTTCATGTAGTTTCATATTATGGAAAGCAAAAGGAGTAGATAACTAGAGGCTTTCTTTTAGCTTGCTAAAGTTGCTTTTAACTCCACAGTGGGGGTGTGGAGCCAGCATGTTCCACTGTGGAGACCTTAGTATGTTTATAGGGTGTGAGGTAGAAAAAATCAGACCAGGGTCACATATGTCTTTTGTGGGTCCTTCCTCCAAAAAATATTAAAAAATTATATTTTACAATTATAGATATAAAGACATATAATCTAGATAAAAATCTTTACTATGTATCCATTATTATGGTGTTTATTTTTTCTTCTCATCTTAAAACATATGAAAATGTAAACATTTTTGTGTTCCCCTCAGAGTACTGTGGATGCTAGGCACTGCATCTATTGCACCTACAAATAAGGCAGTTCTTTGGTGAACGTTTATATATCTGGTTTTCAGGCATTTGAGCATATACTCTAGCAAGTACCGCATTGGTTCTGCAATAAAGGGCTGGTGATAAAAAAGATGAATAAGACATGGAACCAACCTTTGAAGGTACTAAGTCAATGCCCATAAAGGTACACATATGTGTATTAATATATGTGTTTAAAGAGTGTTTTCTTCTGCTTGGATTTACCCCTTATGGAACAACAACAAATCCAAAAGCTACTCCTCGAGAAGTTTTGCAATCATGCGTGTGAAGGAATTAGTTTTTGTTGAACTTGCTTTTTGTCTACTATAGTAATTTGTAGAATCAGATCGAGTGTTTTTCAAAATCATCTATTTTCTTTGTTTAGCTAAGAACAAGGCCAGTGCAATGGGATGCCAATCACTACTGACACAGCTATGACACTTAAGACAGTGCTGGCCTCACAAAATCTTTCTTGTAACCTGGGGTTAGTACAGGCTCAAGAACTCCTCTATTTTTTAATAACTATTGGTGTCCAGAGAGTAAAGGGCATGGGGAAACTTTTTTTGTGTTAGAGGGGAGGCCCCCTTACCTGGATCCCAGCACCATCTGACATGAGGCAAAGGGTGATGGGGGTGGGGGAGGGGAATCAGCGTGGCAAAGATCTTAGTCCCTGTAGCTAAGATACTTTTGCAAATAATAAAACTAAAACAAACAAACAAACAAACAATGCAAACTCATTTCTGGTGCTGCTCTCAGGGCCTTGGAATGGAAAGTGCAGTGAGCTGAAGCTTAAGTTTCTGTGGCTTCATGGTACGCCTGCTGCTGGTGGAGTCTTGAGGGCAGAGAGGTAATGGGGTGGGTGCGTGAAGATCAATCGGGACCCTGATGCCTTTGCAAAAACTCACTTCTCTCTTGAGATGAAGGAACATTGGACACTTTGAGCAGGGGAAAGAGATGATTCTTGTGATAGACAGGGTAATGCCACCTCCCCCCCACAGTGTCTATATCCTAATGCTTGGAACCTATGAACGTGTTACCTTACCTGGGAAAAGGGACTTTGCAGATGTGATAAAGCTAAGAACCTGGAGATGGGGAGCTATACCTGGATTATCCAGGGGAGCCCACTGTAATCACAAGGGAGACTGGAGAGTTGGAGACGGCATTGGGACAATGGAAGCAGAGGTCAGAGTGATGTGGCCATGAGCCAAGGAATGCAGGCAGCCTCTAGACGCTGGCAAAGGAAAGGGACAGAGTCTT